ATGTAACTACAAAATAAACTACAGGAAAATAGGAGGGAGAAGAACAGGGCTACGATCGCCAGCAGCTACCTTGCCAACTCCGAGGAATGTCTACAGCTGGACTACTCAACAACCGCTACCGGGTCCTAATGTGCCTGGATCTGCACACAAGGTGCAGGGAGTAACGTGAGTATGCCAACCCAGTAAGTAACTAAAGTAAATAAAGACAGAGAAGCAGTGACGAGCAATAAAGCATATAAGTTCATATCATGAAAACTAAGTAAAAGTATAACAGGCTTTTAAAAGCAGAGTTTGAATCAAATCATTTCGTTTAAACTTAGTTTTAGTAAAATCATTTGAAAATATTTTCAACAATTCTCAACGGAGGCTCAGTACAACAGTGAGCAAAATAATGAAATCATAAACAGCCCCTCGGGTAAAACATCACTCATGAACAGCCCCTCGGGCAAACCTCTCAGTCACTCGTATATAGCCTCTCGGGCATAACTCATATCACACTCAGGGTACCCGCGCTCACTGGGGGTGTGCAGACTCCGGAGGGGCTCCTTCAGCCCAAGCGTTATTACAAGCCAACTCGTGGCATAAATCAATCAGGCCCTCGGCCTCACTCAATCATGAATCAGTAATAACATGTTGCGGCGTGCAGCCCGATCCCATAAATATCCTTACAATTAGGCCCTCATCCTCTCTCAGTCATAAACCTCTCAAGCCACTCGGGCTATCAGTAAAACAGGGTACTCAGCCCAAAACAACATTTTATATGTATCAAAACAGAGTAATAAAGACTGAGATATGAAATCAGTAAGTATAGCATGACTGAGTATAGATTTTCAATCAAACAGTGAGAGGATAATTAAGAAAAAGGCCCCTAAGGGTCCAAACAGCTCTGGCACAAGGCCCAAATAGGCATTCAACCCAATCTATAGAAACTCTTTCTAAAACACATAAGTATCATATAATTTCAGTCAAATACGCAACTTTATTGTTGCTACGGGATGGACCAAGTCACAATCCCCAATGGTGCACGCCCACACGCCCGTCACCTAGCATGCGCGTCACCTCAAAATAGTAAAACGATACGAAATTCGGGGTTTCATACCCTCAGGACTAGATTCACAATCGTTACTTACCTCATGCCGGTCAAATCCCTACTCCGTGATGCTCTTGCCCCTCGACTCGGCCTCCAATCGCTCCGAATCTATTCACAACCAGAACAATACCATCAATATACGCTAATGGAATGAATTCCACAAGAAAAACTAGCAAATTAGGCACAAATCCCGAAATCCTCCCAAATCCGGCCCCCGGGCCCACGTCTCGGAATCCGACAAAAATTACAAAACTAGAAAGCCCATTCACTCACGAGTCTACCCATACCAAAATTAGGGGTGTTCATGGTTCGATTTGGATTGATTTTTCCCTTAAAAGAAACCAAACCAAGTAAGTCGGTTTTTCAAATATTAGAACCAAACCAAACCAATTAAGTCGGTTTTTTCTCGATTCGGTCTATGTTGGGTTTTTTCTTAAATATAAGACATACACTACCAAACACATATTCCGGCGACCACATTTTCAACGTACCACTATCAAATCAATTGCCCTTTGAGAAATCTATTATTTACCAAGATATATTGATGATAATTGAATCAAATAGTGATGAATAATTTAAGGACTCAATTAAAAATATATTATTTTTAACACAAAATGGATTCTTACACTTACCAAAAGAAAACTACCAATCAAACTAGAATGTAAAAGTAAAGAACTATACTAAAAGTGCAAACTATTAACATTTATCGTTAAATTTTTGAAACTTTGTATAAAAATATACGTATATATAGGTGTAATAATAAATTTAAAATAGCTACTCGTATAGTCGGTTTGGTTCAGTTTTTTTTTATTTTTTTCTGACTAAAACCAAAACCAAAACCAAATCAAATTTGATAGGTTTTCTAAAATTTAAAACCAAAACCAAACCAAACTAAACTAAAAAGTATCGGGTTTTTTGGTCGGTTTGGTTTGGTTTTCTGTTTGGTTCGGTTATTCAGGATTTTATGAACACCCCTAACCAAAATCATCAAAATCCGACATCAAATGGCCATCCAAATCCCCAAAATCATCTCTCCAATTCTCTTCCATCCCCCCCCCCCCCCCCCCAATTTTACACTCCAATTCCCAATTTAGATGATAAAAATCAAGATACAATCATGAAATTTAACCAAAATCAAGTGAAGAACACTTACCCAAATCACCTCTCTGAATTTTCCTTCAAAATCGCGCAATCTCGTGGTCTCTAGCTCAAAATATTAAAAATGGGTTCAAACCCTCGATTTTGAATATAACACTGCCTGCCCTGATTTTGCTCTTCGCGAACGCGGTAGTGCCCTCGAGTTCGCGAAGCACAAACTACCTCTGACCTGGAAATCCTCCTTCGCGAACGCGAGGACCCACTCGCGAACGCGAAGCCTAAGCTGGCTGACCCTACGTGAACGCGGAACAACCCTCGCGAACGCGTAGGCTTATCTTCCTGAAGCTCCCAAAGACCGTGGACTCTACGCGAACGCGATGACCTGGTCGCGAACGCGTAGCCTTAGAGTCCTACACCTTCGCGAACGCGGGAACTACTTCGCGAATGCGAAGAACAACTCAGCTGCCCTTCTCCCTTCGCGAACGCGGGAGCCCTCTCGCGAACGCGATGAAGGAATTCTCTACAACAAAATACCAGAAAATATGCCAACTTCCAAAACCAAGAATTGATCCGTTAACCACCCGAAAGTCACTCGAGGCCCTCGGACCTCAACCAAACATACCAACACATCCCATAATATCATTCAAACTTAGTCGAACCTTCAAATCATGCAAAACAACATCAAAACACCAAACCCTCGAATTCAAGCCTAAGAACATCCAAATTTCCAAATTTCACAAACGACGCCAAAACCTATCAAATCACGCCCGAATGACCCTAAAATTTTGCACACACGTCACAAATGACACTACTAACCTACTCCAACTTTCGAAATTTCATTCCGATCCCGAAATCTAATTTTCCACTGCCGACCAAAATCGCCAAATTTCCAACTTTCGCCAATTCATGCCTAATTTTACCACAGACCTCCAAATCACATTCTGGACGCGCTCCTAAGTCCAAAATCACCTAACGGAGCTAACTAAACCATAAAAGTTCAAATCCGAGGTAGTTTACACATAAGTCAACATCCGATCAACTTTTCCAACTTAAGCCTTCACAAAAGAGACTAAGTGTCTCAATTCACTCCAAAACCACTCCGAACCCGAACCAACCAACGCGATACGATCAAATATAGCTGAGGAACACAAAAGGGAGCAGAAATGGGAGAAACGGGGCTATAACTCACGAAACGACTGGCCGGGTCGTTACAAACAGTCGAAGTATACTATTATGGTATATTGTATACTATTACAGTATACTTCATATTATTACAATATACCGTTACAGTATATTGTATGCTATAATAGTTTACTGTTGGGTATAGTTATATACTCCTACAGTATATTATATACGGTAGCGGTATATTGTTAGATAACTGTGTTCTTCTTCAATTATTATAGTATACCATTGCAGTATATTGTATACTATAACAATATATTGCTACAACATAGCTATATACTTCTGCAACATATTGTATACTGTAAAGGTATACTATTGGGTAACTGTATTCTTCTTCGATTTTTAATAGAAAAATTCGATCTCAATCACCTCAAATTAGCAAATGCGATCAAATTTCAGTATGAACTTCCAGAAAGTACTATAAAAAATATTTAATAACACCCACTTTGAATCAAACAAGAAATCTTCAAAATAAAAATTTTAAATTCAAGAACTTCAAGCCCAACAATAGTGGATATTCAAATACACATACAAATTCATATCCAGAAAGCTTACTTGAAGGTACTATAAGCAATATTTTATAGCACCCACATCGAATCAAATAATAAATCTTCAAAATAAATTTTGAATTTAGGAGCTTCAAGCTCAACAATAGTGGGTCTTCATACACGCACAAAAATGAGATTTGGAAAATTTAATATATAACCACAACAACACATGAGTTCTGAAATACAAATAAATACGCAAAAAAATATACTAATATAGAAAGAGGATTTTGGAGTGAAACTCATGCACAATAATATGAAAACTTATTTTTTAAACTTTATATAGAAAATTCTAAAAAAATGGTAAATGCATGAGTTTGTACTAGATTTTCATCATCCACTAAAAAGACTAAGCTTTGGGTGTTTTTTTGAAAGGGGAAAGGAATGTTTACGGTGTAAGACTCTGCTTGTTTAGAGAAATTGAAAAGGTAAAAGGAATTGGGCAGGAGGGTAAATAGTTTAGACTGTATAGGTAGAAAAAGTAAATTATTTGGGCTTAGATATTAAAGGGTAAATAGTTTGGGTTTAATGGGTATAAAGCGAGATTTTCTCCTTTAAAATTGTGGAACAAGTAAATATTCGGATTTTGGTCTGGTGTAGTTTTGAGAAATTCTTGGTAAAACATTTACGTTCTTAATTAGTTTTCTTATAAGAGGTTTGGACATATTTTGTCTCACTTGAAACTTACTAGTAGTATATCCTTTTCGGGGATAATATTTCGGTTTTATTAGAGATCAATACTTTTTTATTCGCTGTAATTTTATTAGTACCTATACAAAAAGCAGCAACAAATAACCATCCAGTCTACGAGACATATGTAGTTATCTGTTGGTTTCAGAAAATCAAACCCATTTGTTTGGGTTGGGTTTATTGATGGGAATGGCACCGTTAATTAGTTTATGTGTACCATTATCGTTAAGATTATAAATTTTTTTTTAAGGAATCTTAAATATTTTTTGGATAATCTGATATATTATCGGTATATAATTATTACTCTTTGAATAAATAATTCAATACTGTAAAAAAAAAAGGGGAAAAAGAGAAGAAAAAAAACAAATGCATCTTAAGACGTGTTCCCATAGGCGCCCAAGTAAACAAATCCCACGCCGCATAAGGAACCAGGCGCCAGCCAACAAAGACCTAACAACCTCTCTGTTTCCAAATCTCATTTTACACCCAAAAACAAATATAAAATAAACTGTTTAAGAAGTTGTATTAGTAGGAGGAGCATTATATTGACCAATTTGGTCGGTGCTTTTCCTCCAAGAAACTTCTCCAATTAGAATATTCGTTGCAAAGAATTACTTATTCAGAGTCCCATTTTCAAATTTGTTTTGCAATTTTGTTGCTGTCCTCCTGAAAAAATAATGAGTCGCTGTTTTACATGTTAGCCGAGTTAGGGTTTTGAGCAATTGGTTTTAATTTCGGGGACCCTAAAAATGGAGGTTGCTGGATCTAGAAGGAAGTCGTTTGACCAAACCGAGATTAACTGGGACAAGTAAAGCTTCCTTCCACTTCTTCGATTTATTTTGTCTTAATATACGTCTCCTCAATTTTGTTTTTGTCATTTTAATGTTTTTTTTCTCCATCCGTATGATTGAATGATTATTATGTGTTTAATTATAGGAAATGATAATAGGTCTTGCAGATTGCAATTAATAACGTGTTTAATTATGGAATTTAATAACTAGTTTTTAAAGTAATTAACAAAAATCTATTTGCAATTCTCTTATTCACTGTGAATTAAAGATGAAAACCAAGGGTTGCTAGTTGGGACTCATAATATTCTGAGGTTGAAATTTTTGAATGATTATTATGTGTTTAATTGTAGGAAATGAATCAAATGATAATAGGTCTTGCTGATTGCAATTAATAACGTGTTCAAGTATGGAAATTAATAACTAGTTCTTAAAGTAATTAGCAGAGATCTATTTGCAGTTCTCTTATTCACCGTGAATTAAACATTAAAACCAAGGATGGCTAGTTGGGACTCATCATATTCGGAGGTTGAAATTTATTTTGGAAATTGTAATTGTATTGTCCAAAAAGAGAATAAGTTCAAATTGGGTGCTAATTGCGAGTTGGCCTAGCTAAATGATTGTCCTGCAAAACCAATGGGAGATGTTGTACTTTGCCTCCCTCCTATCCTGTGTATAAAAGTGAGTGGATTCAAAAATGAATAGTAAGAGGGCTTAAACTGTACACTAATCACCAGAAGTTTTTGGTGGCTAGAATTAATGTCTTATTAATTCTTCTTTACGTGTTTATTTAGTAGACGAAAGTTGTTGATTGCCCCCAGGGCTTAGTTCAAGTGGCAAAGGTTAAGGGACTTGTGACTTTGTCACATGTTCGAGCCCTGCACCATTCGAACTAAGCTTGTATTAAGTCGGAGAAGGTAGAGGGCGGCCGACTCTTCCGAGCGTGCGTGTCGTACNTTCGGGCATAGGAGATCTCCACTACGGCTGAAGTCAAATTATCATATGCTCTCGACCACGCCAGGCAACAATCCTGGAGAGAAACTCTCGAAGAGGTGCAGCTTGTGGCTTCCTATTTAGTAGACGAAAGTTGTTGATTGCCCCCAGGGCTTAGTTCAAGTGGCAAAGGTTAAGGGACTTGTGACTTTGTCACATGTTCGAGCCCTGCACCATTCGAACTAAGCTTTGTATTTAAGCGGAGAAGGGTAGAGGGGCCGGCCCATTCTTTCCGAAGGCTGCGGTTGGTCCTAAGGGTTGGCCGCCCGAATTCTCGGTCATCCCCCACCCCCCCCCACCCACCACCCCCACCCCAAAAAAAAAAAGAAAGAAAACAAAAGTTGTAAATTAACTCATTTTCTGAGATTCCGTAAAAATCAGTAGAATGGAGAATCTTCGGCTTAGACCTCTTGGTGGATTTCAGGCCTCCAAAGTTATGTATACTTATAACATAGATTTAAGTTTCTCTATCTTATAGGATAATGTTCAAGGTCAAGTAGGATCTATTTGCGCTGCAACTTAATCTTTTAATGATGTAGTGGCCCATGGGGAAAATTTCTTTTCTTGTATGCAGGCTTGCTCCTTTTATTTTTACCCTCTCTTTTTTTTCTTTTGGACTTCTCTTCATGTCTTCCACTCTTCTGCAGGCTTGATAAGAGTAAGTTCTATGTCGTAGGAGCTGGGATATTTACAGGGCTTACTGTTGCGCTCTACCCCATTTCCGTTATCAAAACTAGAATGCAGGTTGCAACCAATACTGCTGCAAAAGACAATGCATTTTCTGTTGTTAGGGGCATATTGCGAAACGATGGTGTTCCCGGTTTATATAGAGGTTTTGGAACTGTCATTACTGGGGCAATTCCCGCCAGGATTATATTTCTCACAGCACTAGAGACCACTAAGGTGGCTGCCTTTAAGATGGTTGAACCATTCAAATTATCAGAACCTGTACAGGCAGCTATAGCAAATGGCGTTGCTGGCATGCTGGCGTCTCTTTGTTCACAATCTGTCTTTGTTCCAATTGACATAGTATGCCCTTTATCTCTTCATTCTCTTTTCATAATAGAGGCATAATGACTTGAACAAGTGGATTGTGAATCCAACGTAACTTTTCTCCAGAAATCCACGTTTTACTTATCAAAAAAAAAAAAAAAGAAGAAATCCACGTGTAGCTAGATTAAATATCTGATTACATCTGAAGTATGCTTTCTTAAATTATCAGATTGCTCTTTATTCTTTTTGTCATTTACTAGAATTTGCATTAGAATATTAACTGAATTTGGCTGAACTGAGCATAGCAAAGTAATTTACAAATAAGTTGTGTTTCAGACGTTTATGGTCTTCCTTATTTTATTGTTATTGCCCTGCTTTCCACTTCAGCCAGTCACAATTTGTGGATGAGTTTTTTCAAGTTTCGAAAATTGATGTCATGAAATCGAATGGAAATAGGTTAGTCAAAGGTTAATGGTGCAAGGATACTCAGGCCACGCAAGCTACAACGGAGGCTTGGATGTTGCTCGCAAAGTTCTGAAGTCAGAAGGTGTTCGTGGACTATACAGAGGATTTGGTCTATCTGTTATAACATACTCCCCATCCAGTGCTGTATGGTGGGCAAGTTATGGTTCGAGCCAGCGCTTCATATGGAGGTGAGACATGACAATGCTGATCGTGCAAAATTCTTTAAGAGTGGACTGTCCGTTTTCTCCTGTTCACGTTCCTGTTATACCTTTGAATTGGGTTGCATCGCCGAGCATTGTTGTTCTATAGATTTCTGTTGGGTAACCTTTTGTGGCTTATCAACTGCTTTTGGTGTCTATCAGCAGGCTCTTGGATAATGGAACTGAGCATGGTGGGCCTGCTCCCAGCCAGGGGAAAATAGTGGCAGTTCAAGCTGCTGGTGGGATCATTGCGGGTGCTACTGCATCTTGCATAACAACTCCATTGGACACCATTAAAACTCGATTGCAGGTATTACCTCTGTTTTCTGTTATGAACTATTTTTTCTACACTTCTCAAAATTTTCTAGTTTATTTGTTAAGGTTTTTGCAAGTGTTAAGCTTTCGCAAGAGGCATTGCAGTACCTTTAGATGGGTTAAGTGTTCGTTTTGTTTCCTACACACTAGTAGTCGTACCCGCGCGATGCGCGGTCAGTATTAAACAATATTAGTTAAATTAAATCCTAATCGGGCTTCTTTGAACATATTAGATCGTATTACTTTAATAAATTTAAATTATCATCTTATTTGTCAATACGATATACCTAATAATAAAATCTCTATTTAACTAAAAAGACTTATATAGTTATTGAAGAACTTTTTTGTTTTATATTTTTCTTTATTATATTATCCAATGTTTAGTAATTATNATATATATATATATATATATATATATATAATTTGACATATGAATTATTAATAAAAAACCAATTTAGTATAATAACTACTCCCATATATATACACACACACACACTACTACAACTATATTAGGAAGAAATTACTCTCCAATTTAAATTGGTAGTTTTTTATTTTTTTGTTATTTTTGTTTTTTATTGTAAAATAATTTTAAAACTCCAATTTGAATGAGTAGAATATTTTTTTGTATTTTTCGTTTTTTATTGATAATTAAGATATCTATATTTATTAATTCAAGTAGTGTAACCAATTAATTCAAAATTTAAAATTCAATAAAAAGTTAGTTAGAAAAGTAGTTTATTTTGTCTTAAAAATGCCACTTGGCTTTTTGTGGTTAAGACACTTGTCTTAATGTAGTGGTTTTGCTTCTCCTATTCTATATAGATAGATTGGTGCGCACAATTGGGCATTAATAGCTGCTTCTCTTCATCTGCATAGAAATTGTAGATATTCTCTTTTTTTCTTTTGGTCTCTCCTTCGGTGGTTGGATACATAAGTGAGAGTGTTGAGAAGCAATTCCTCTTAAAACTCTAGCCACACTAGTTTGTGCTCTTGCATTGTCCTGTAATTAGTCTCAGTTTTGAGTCTTGTTATTTAAGGATCTTGTTGTTCGTGCACTACAGGTGATGGGACACGACAAGAGGCCTACTGCACGACAAGTAGTGAAGCAGTTAATTGCTGAGGATGGTTGGACAGGATTTTATAGGGGATTAGGTCCAAGATTTGTCAGCATGTCAGCATGGGGAACCTCCATGATACTTGCCTATGAATATCTCAGTATGATCTTGACCTCTTCTTCTTTTTCCTTTAATTTTTACTACCACGTGAGCAATAAATCATAATTTGTTTGGAAGTTGAAGTGTGATTTATTAACCTAATGTGTTGCTACTATGGATGTGTCCAATTGAATCAGAGTGGTAGGTGTTTTACTTGATTTTTGCGAGTTTATATGGGACATTCTATTCACAACTTTCTGATTTTGTGATTGATCTTGATGTCTTTAAATGACAGTTATGACTTGAAAATACTTGTTTTCATCAACTATTACAGTAAGTTTATCTATAAAAATTTGACCTCCCACTGACTTGATATGTGCTTTGCTGTTCTTTATGTTTCATCATCAGTTTTATTGATGCTCCAGTTTGTGCCAATCTGTTTACCTCTTGATCCAAAAAAATTGGGCCTAATCTGTTTACATATAAATTTTGCGGCCTATTAGCTCTGGTTAGTATGAAGAGTTCGCATGTCTGCTCAGCTGCTCCATCATACTTCCCTTGAAACAAACCGTTTTATCTGGATCAGGTGTTCGCTAATATGTTCTTTGTAGCTTAGTGGGCATTTGCACTCTATCATATTCATAAAAGAAAGAAGCTCTGTTGCTCTAATTCTTGATTCTAGGCAAAAAACATCCAATTGGTTCTCCGTTTTTGACAATATATTGCCACTTAAAAAAGAGAAAGAGCCTTTGTTTAAATACTCAAAAGTGTCATATTTGTACCCTAATATTTGATAAGCTACTGCTATTTTTTTTTTTTTGTTAACATGAAGATATGAAACGTGCATCTTGTTCAATAAATTTTCCTAAAACATGATTTCTTTTTTTGCAGAACGCTTGTGTGCGGTAAATGAATAGGTTGATAGAGCTAGCTGCCAGACGACTCTTCATGCGGTAGGGTTTTTCTTATATTACTGCCATACAGTATTGGAGCTGAAGATATCAAGACCGTGCTAACTCTGCTGATTAGTTGTCCGTATAGATGACAGTGATACATAAGTTGACTTGGAATCCAAGTATCTGGCCTACCACAATTGATTTTCTTTGGTATTTACTCACAGTATTCTTAAACGATTTTTGCCGGATAAATGCAATATTCATTGATTGTAATCAGTCACTACAAGGAGGATGAAGAATATATTCTTAAATGATTTTTGCCAGATAAATGTAATATTCATCTATATGCATAGATGAATTCTTGATCAAATGTAAGTTCATGTCAATGCAACTCTTGTTTTGAAGCCTTTATATTCTTCGATTTGGTTTCTTTCGACAGTTGGATCTAGGGCTATGTATTGGTAAATACCGAATTACCGTACCGAAACCGAAAAATTTGGTTTTTGGTATATGGCATTTTGGTACTTGATTTAAGATTTTAAAAAAATTGGTATTAGGTATGGTATTTGGTATTTTAAAATAAAATATCGAAATATCGATACCGTACCGAAATATATATTACACAAAACATATATTATCAATTATAACATAAATATAAAAAATTTAAAATTTTACTTTCCTTTATTCTCTAAGTTCATCAATTAACTCTAAACAAGTAACAAGATTTCTAATGGTCAAGTATTCTTTTATGTACAATTTTCTCTATTTGGGTCGATATATGCTAGTTTTGGATAAATTTTTTGAACAAACATTTTCAGTTTTGTATTTTTGAGTACTTTAATTAAGAATATTAGAGTTTATGGCTCTATGCACTAATTAGTATTCAAACCGAATAAACCGAAGTTACCGTACCAAATAAACCGAAACCGAAAGGAGAAAAACATTACCATACCAAATTTAATTAGGTACGGTATTGGTCCTATAGCAAAGGGTAACACCTTATTTATTTTAAATAAATACCATTTAAAAAAATTATATTCTATAGATACCTTTTAATATTTATAGCAAAATATTTAATTTTGGTTACCTCCTAACCCTAAGCCACTAAATACGCTATTTAGTTACACTATTTTCTTTCTCTCCCTATTTTGATACGCTATTCAATAATGAACCAAACTCTGCTTCACCGGCGTAGAATTAAGCAAATCATCGTCACTTAGTAGGTCAAGAATGGCATCCTTGCCTCTTTTGGACTTGGCATTTCTTGAAGAAAAACTAGATTCTAAAAAAGACGACGACATCCTTGTTTTCTGATCAGATTTAGAAGGACTTTTAGATCCATTATCACCTTTTGAATTTAGACCAGCACTTTTTTCCTCCTCGTCACACTCGGCAGCACTTCGGATTAGAACTGCTGGTGTAGCTGACTTTAAAGTTGATTCACTAGTTTCAGGCCCCGCATCAACAACTTCTTTTTCTTGCTCATTAGATACATCCTCAATGGACTACCGGCTTCCGGTGAACGGCGGATTCACCGGTAATTAGGGTTTGTTCTTGAACAAAGACGGCGGAGTTTGGGGCTGAGCAACTTGATTTTCTGTTAATATATTTCAATGTATTTTCATGTATTTCATTGTATTCATTGTCTTTTTTTTCATTGTAATTCAATGTATCTTGTTGTTCCATATACTTCAATTTATTCACTGTTTTTTTTTCATTGTATTTCAATATATCCCGCTGTATTCTATGATTTCATTGTATTTACTGTCTCGCTATATGCCATGAATGTATTCATATGTTTTTTATAATTGATATAATTTATGTATTCAGATGTATTATATAATTTCTCTAAAGATTGTTATGTTTTGGGGGTATTTTTCGGTTGAGAATCTTTTTTATAACTGAAAATACAAAATTTGTGTGTTATAATTGAGTTTGTTGATTTATATTAGGAGTCTTTTATGTTAATTCATTCACTTTCCGTTTTAAAAACAGTGTAAAACCCCATTTCACGCCGTGAATACAATCGAATACAATAATCTGTCCAGCTGTAATCCCATGTTTCACTCCATGAATACAGTCGAATACACTCGAATACAACAACTGATTAGCTGGACTTCCCTGATTCGCGCCTATTTTTGCTACTGTATTCATGCATACAATAGCTTAAATACATCTTATAACCACAGAAAAGGTATCTATAATCCGTAATATAGCAAATGGTATCTATAGATGGCTAATTACTACTAAAAGATAGTGCTTTATGAAAATTTCTCTTTAAGAAACTGAATACCGAAAATACCGAACCGAAATGTCTAAATCCCAAGTGATTTACACCGTTAATTGTCAATATGGATCTGCTCGAAAAGGATACCCACTTGGCACTGCAAATCTGATGAGGTTACCAGTGGAACTAGGTAAAATAGTTTGAACGTAATGATTCTTGGGTGTATTGCAATGGCTTTTACATGCTCCACTTCTGCCTTTCTCAGATCATTTCTTGAACATATGCAGTATATTATGAATAGGTGATTTAAGGACATACTGACCTTGATATGTGATCTCTACTTTCATTATACTCTTTCCTCTCAGAACTGCATTAAGTTAATATTAGCGGCACACTTATTTATCTTACAATCAAAATACTGAATAGAGAAGACAGAAGATTCAAATCAATCTGGAGGCTGCATCACAGAAATAGTACAAAACTCTGCCCAACCATAATGTAAATTCACGGGCCATCAAGTCCCAAAAACCAAAGACCAACTAGTAAAATGAGTAAATTGACTAGCAAAACACCAATGCTCTTACATCACAATATCATGAAGCAAGCTGTCTTTTAAGCTGAATCGCATATTCGGATAAAATTTCTACAAGACAACCCCAAGAAAGAAACGAACTTAAGGCCGAAGGATCTCCGCTGCAAAACTTATAACTTCTCACATCATACTATAGCCTATTTTAAATTATATAGGCTTAAGAATCTATTTTAGCCTATATTACACTCTCAGAACTCTTAATCACCAGCTAAGAAAATCTGAAAGCCTTTATCCACTATCCAACAGACATCCTATATCAATTGTGGCCAACAAAAATTCACTTCTTTTCCCCAAAGCTGCCAATTCAAATGTGCGAGTGTTAATCAAATTATCGACCATGAAGAGAAATCTATAAAGGGCCATATGAAATTTATTCTCCAAAATGCACATCTCAAATAACTTGGAGCTGATCTTCATTATCATCATCCTCATCATCATGGTTTACCTCCGCATATTCCTCAAGTGATGATGCTGTAAACAGTTCACCGACCTTCATGTCATTTTGAGTTAGGTTCTTCTCCGAACTCTGAGACTTCCCTTTGTTCATCTGTTGAATACACATGATGAGCACTAAGAATCTCAGAAACATCACGAAAGCAATATAATCAACATACACCAATGTGCTGAAACTCTGGTAAAACAAGATACTTTTATACAGCTTGGTTCAGTAGAAAAGACAAATGGTAGAAAGGGAGGTAAAGGAGTATTTACAACTTGGTAATAAGTAAAAGAAGGTGGAAAGTAAAAAAGGAGGAGAATGTCATGTTCGCTGTGTCATATTCGCTTATACTATCAAATGTGTTCGGTTAGATAGTAAATAAATATCAGAACGTGAGAGAAGCAAATCAACTGTTCCACTCCCATTCAATGAACCAACCAATCGTTACGTACAGATATTTATTTCTCAAAATCCATTTCATGTTTCGTGGAGACATGCTGTTTAATGAGTATTATGCAATAAAAGTAACCAGCAGGAAAACATTCTCTTCAGCTTTAAGAATCAATTTTCAAGCATAACTAGTACTCAATATGTAAACATAAATAGGCAATCCAACATCCAGAGAACAAAACTGTGCTTACATGTACAGACTATGTATGCACTAACCCCAGTCCAACTATTTTCAATCCAGTCTAGGAGAAACAAATAGAAGAGAATCGGGTAGATCCCAAGGGGGGTAAAAATAAAAATGACCATAAACTGTCATCTACATCATTTGTTTTTGCAAGAAAAGGTGACCTACAATTTACATGTTAAAAGTTGATTTTCATATAACAAGAATACATATTTGAGTAAGTAGGGTACTTTGGGAGGATTATAACATTCACAATTATGCTAAATATTAGTTGATCCACGATATTCATATGGATAAGAAGGCAGAGAGTATGACTGTTTACAGGGAATGATCTGTAGCAATCAATACTTATGACCAAATTGTCGCCAATGTCATGCCAGAAGAGGCAGGCAGTAAGTGGTCTGTCAGTTAACCACCTGAAAGATAGGCAATTGTGAGCCCACAAGGCTTAATGTGGTGTGGAAGGGCGGGAAAGGTGTTCTCGTTTAGACTCCAAGAGAGTAGAGATCAAATAATGAGGAGGAAATATGATTATGGGGAACAAAGAGGGTGAGAGAAATACGTGGTTAAACAGTTTACTTTCTCCTATGCCTAGAGTACATGGTAATAAATCACTGACATGAATTGTAAAGATTTGAAATATAGCAAAGGACAAAGGTCACTCTGGTGCTAAGTGCTAACCAAATGATATAGCTTGATACTATTGACACATTGTTGATTAAGAACTATATCGATTACATCTAAATTGAAAAGGCGGGGTTTATGATAAGTCACTGTAGTTAAATCCTAAGTTTCTCCGACACGGTAGTTTAGGTGTCGCGCCCGTGTCGACATGAAACTAGTATGGGTGCGCGTATGGGATCCGTACCGGATTTGGTCAAATAATTTTGGGTACTTTGACCACGGCGAACGGACAAAATCGAGACAAGATACAATTTGATTCTCGAAATCAGAACCAAAACTAGGATAAATTTGAAGAAATTAGCATACTTTATCTAGGAAATCAACCATTTACTTATCTATAGCTTGAGAATAAAAAAGAAATACATATTTCACAAGCGATACATAAGTATTCCACAAAATTTCTCATAATTTAGAGATAGTTCTATATTTTTATTTATTAATTATTTTTAGCTGGATCCCCGCACCCATATCCGTACTAGGATCCATATCCCTGAATCTTAGAATTTACATCTCGAAGGATCCGACTTCTCGATCCGCACCTGTGTCCGAGCAACTTAGGTTAAACCATTCTATTCATTATGAGATGCCAAACCGAGTCTAATTAGATATCTAATTTGAAAAGATAACGAGTGTAGGCACCCAAGGATGTTGCCTAGTATGTGTGTGTGTGTGTTTTTTTTTTTTTGGGGGTGGGGGGGGGGTTGGGGGGGCTAGGAACAAGAACAAGGCAGGCATCTACCAGAAAACATTTATCATAAAGTTAATTCAGCAGAAATTTCTCTTACAGCACGTAGAAGTGACCGCCTATCCCGTTCTCGAGCATTCTTGATAGCCTGTAACCA